TATTGGTTCAGAAGCTAAACATGTGGTGCATATGCAGTTCAGAGAGGATTAAAGCACTGGGGGAAAGACAGGCCAGGCAGATTATCTCTAGGACCTGAGATTCCATGATTAGATGAACAGTAAAGAGAACAAACTCTACTAAATGTAGACTAATTAAGGAAAAGGCCCAGGCTAGCATTAAAGTCTATGTCATGTAAAGTTTTGAAGAAATCTAAGTTATTACTTTCAACTTTTAGGTCATCACACAATAAATGCTCAATAAACATTTGTTGAGTGGATTATTTAATTTAGCAACAAAGCACAGCAATACAATGAATGAGATACAACTGTAAAGTTTAAGAAAAAGGTGAAAGGGGTTTGGAATTAGTATATTAAAGCAAGAGCCTAAACAACTAAAATTTCAATGTATAGCTATCTGACCTCAAGTGAGATATGAACCTCACTTACCTGTGCCTCAGTTTCCTCAGCTTAAAATAAGGATAACAGTACTTACCTCATTTGGGTGTTCAAAGTATTAAGTGAGATAATAAATGGAAAGCACCCAGAATTATTCCTTTCTACTCTTCTTTGAGTTTACAAATATATTCTGGTCATGCATTCTACATATACATGTATATGTATAGTTGTACAATTTTAAAAGTCAGTAGCAACAATAATAGAATCTTTTACCAGCTTTTTCAAAATTTAAAAAAAAAATCAAATTTCACACTCAATACCTATTGCTCTTTTTACCTGTTGTACGCATAAAGAGCTTATGCGCCTGACTCTCGTATCCACGTGATGTATGGAGAGCAATCCAGTCTGAATTTATAAACTTTGCCCTGCAAATCAAAGCATATATACATGCACTTTATTCCCCATCACTTTTAGCAATAAGGACATCTGAGGACATATGGTTCTATTTTAAGAAGTGGCCATTGCTCTTATAAAGCAAGAGTCAAGGCTTCGTCTTTTTAATTATGTGAAACTGACGTAAGCTATAAAATAGAGTCTGCCTTGCTCATCTTCCAACAAAATCATGTAACATGTTACTAAGAGCCCTACCGCCACAATTCCTCCTGTGTTAAAAAAAATCTGACATATCATATTTCATTTATTAAANAAATATTAATTCATTTCATTCTCAAAAAGTCTACAAAGTAAGGGTTGTCATTATTTCCTTTTTATAAATGAGGAAAATAAAGTACAAAGTGGTTAGAAAAATGTGTCCCCATAAATGACATAAACCCAAAAGCTTCAAGAATTTGATTAAAATTACAGAGGAGATAACACTACAAATTTACCAGAAGGTGAAAATGAAAATAACTGACAATTGGTGAAGATGAGCACCTAGAACTCATACACCATTGCTAATGGGAGTGTTAACTGGTATACCATGCTTAAAAACCTCTAAAATTAAACATATGCGCACCTATAACTCAGCAATTCCACTCATAAGAAATATATTTATATGTGTACAAAGAGACATTTACAAGAATTTTCATATCAGAGCCAAAACCTGGAAGCAACCCAAATGTCTATCAGTACAAGAATGTGTATTCGTGCAATGGAATACTGTGAAGCAATGTAAGTGAACAAGCTACAGCTACATACAACTACATGAGTGACTCACAAACAAATGTCAAGCCAAAAACACAAAACACAAAGGAATACCTACTGTGTTGTCTCTTTTACATTAAGTTCATGAAAGGGTAAAAACTAAACTACATATAGTATTAACACTTAGTATGTGCTACCTTTGGGAAAGGAGGAGGGAGAAATACTTGGGAAGTACACAAGTATAGTTTTGGATACTGACAGTGTTCTATTTCTTGACACGGTAAAAGCGTGCCAATTCACTGAGCTTCACATTTACATTTAGTGCACTTTTCTGTATGGGTGTTATACTTCGAAGTAAATACAGTTTTAAAAATCTTGTAAACAACTTTTTTTTTTCACTTCTTTATATCAGTGCTTTTGATATTACCAGAGTATCCAATAGCCCTGATCTCACAATGCCAAAACATAAAGTAAAAAAGAGCTCAATTAGGAAAGTGGACAGAATAAAAATATATGATAAAAACTACAGATTTGAATATCTTTTGCAAGTTCTTTGACAGATGCACATAATGATTTTATTATAACTAAAACAGATTGGCATCAAAAGGAAAAGGTATTAACTGAGCAATCATGTTGCTGTGAATTATGTCTTTTATTTCCTTTGAGACAGATGACAACAGATAGTAACATTTAATACATTAGAAGACAACTGGAGAGTCATGTACAGATTTTATCAACTTTCCTCTAAGATTTGTTTATTTGAATGTTTTCCTTGTTTTCGATATCAAAAATTACACACATAAAACAGTAAATTTTAATTATTCAGTTTCAGTTTTCTGAAGCTTTCAGCTACCACTATCTGTTAGAGAAACATCTTGTTTTAAAACGCAAACAACTGTAAGATTGTTTTTCCTTTGTCAGTGTCAGATAACATTTACAAAAGATACAAGATACGTCACACCTTTTTCAAATTAGGAGAGCATAATCATACTTGGCATTCTTTTTCCAACTCTCCAGAAGAGAATCAGTTATCAAGTCAAACGGGTGTGAAAAAGCAATTCTACTTTTAATAAATCTGTACTTTATCCTTCAAGTAAAAGCTTTGTGAAGAGATTCTTATATATCATTGTGAAAATAGTTTATATAAGCAAGTACCCTAGCAAATAAGAGATTACTAGATGGTAATATTATACAATTGAGCTAGATTTTATAATATGCATCTGACGACTTCTAAATTAGTAAAGGATACTGAAAATGTCCATAGTCGATAAGAATAAGGCCTGGATACAGCAATATGCATAATGCATTAGCAATCTGTAAAGAAAAATATTGTGAAATAAGAAAGCAATCTGTTACTTGAATCAATCAGAATAAAAGTGTAGTTTCATTTAACACAGTAGAAAATGTTCCCCTCTTATCTTCTATTTATCAAAAATTCAATTTTTATAAAACTCTTTAAACACTAAAGTTTTCATGGAGGTGACATAGCATACTTCATTAAAAAGGGAAAATCATTAAAAAGCATTTGTCAGAGAAAGCACTCTTAGATATACAAATCAGGGAAGTTAATCTAATGATTAACCTATACAAAATTGCCAAAAAGAGTGTTTGTTAACTGTGACTATGAAGATAAATAGCAACTTTTCAAAATGCCTTTCAGTGTAGTCATTCTCACAAGCCAATTCAAAATTCAGATCAACTAGTGAAGCAATAAATTCAACATGCTGTGTAATTCAGCAGTACATAACTTCTAAAATTTGGTGCATCTTGTGACTATTGGTGGGCATCAAAGTAATTAAGGTAAATTGATGTTTTCTAAATAAAAATTAACTAACAGAGCTATACTGTTCCCTATTAGTATCTGTTCCCAAAAAGCATGGCTTCCTTAAGAGTCATGCCTAATAGTTAAGCTAATAAAACATTTCAGAGAAGAAATGTCAGGTTGCTTTAAAACTTACCTTTTTCTTAGTTGACATTTCTTTTAAACAACAGCAGTACAAAACCACTGCAGGTATGTAAATCAGCAAATCAGCAATTAACACTGAAAAAACAAGCAAATGATTTTCAGTGTGAGACCACCAGGATGTGCAATGACTGCCTCCCTTCCTCCAATCTTGAGTGGGAATTCTATTAACACAAGCTTCCTACCCACTCTAGACAATTTCTTTACATGTGAGCCCTTTTTATTCCCTTCACCTCTGCCAAATTTCAACTGATACCACAGAGTCTCTTTTCTTAATTTTCTCTAACAAATTCACACATGAAATAAATTAGATGTATCCAAAATTAGAAAATTCTCTCTTTGTTCCGACTTGGGACTTAAAACATAAAAATACTCAAAGCAAGAGA